TATCATATGCTGAATCCAGCAGTGGGTGCCTATTGACCGATTGTTTTAGAACTTCCGGAAGTCTTGAGCTAAAAAGATTCAAATGGCTGCGCCCGCTCATACGTGGAGAGTAAGGTGAATAGAACAGCAGGAATAACTGCATTGCCTTGGTCACCGCAGTAAACAAAGCACCATGAGGTCAAATCTAGTTTTAGATACCAAATTTAACCCTATAAACTACACCGCATACCAATATTTACAGATAAAATTCATGCAAGCTTTAACAGGATACAAAATTTGATACCTTGAACAGTAGCATTAGAAATATTAGAAGTGCCTTAAATTACTATAAATTGATTTGTCAATAAGCAAGGGAAGAGTCTCGCTAGATCCTCCTGTACGGATGCACGTCAGATATAAAACGCTCGCAGCCTTTACTGTACTTGTGTTATGTGATTGATTGTTTACTTGTGTTGTGTCATTGGCGGATTGCTGCACTCATGTGTCATGTAATTGGGCGTTTACTGTACTTGTGTCGTGTGATTGGTTGTTTACTTGTGTTGTGTCATTGGCTGTTTACTGTACTTGTGTCATGTGATTGGTTGTTTACTTGTGTTGTGTCATTGGCGGATTGCTGCACTCATGTGTCATGTGATTGGGCGTTTACTGTACTTGTGTCGTGTGATTGGCTGTTTACTGTACTTGTGTCGTGTGATTGGCTGATTGCTGCACTCATGTGTCATGTGATTGGCTGTTTACTGTACTTGGGTCGTGTGATTGGCTGGTTGCTGCACTCATGTGTCATGTGATTGGCTGTTTATTGCACTTGTGTCATATGATTGGCCGTTTACTGTACTTGGGTCGTGTGATTGGCTGATTGCTGCAGTCATGTGTCGTGTGATTGGCTGCTTACTGTACTTATTTTGTGTGATTGGCTGATTGCTGCACTCATGTGTCGTGTGATTGGGCGTTTACTGTACTTGTGTCGTGTGATTGGCTGTTTACTGTACTTGTGTCGTGTGATTGGCTGATTGCTGCACTCATGTGTCATGTGATTGGCCGTTTACTGTATTTATGTCGTGTGATTGGCCGTTTACTGTACTGGGTCATGTGATTGGCTAATTGCTGCACTCATGCGTCGTGTGATTGGTTGTTTACTGTACTTGTGTCATGTGATTGGCTGTTTACTGCACTTGCATCGTGTGATTGGCTGTTTACTGTACTTGTGACATGTGATTGGCTGTTTACTGCACTTGCATCGTGTGATTGGCCGTTTACTGTACTTGTGTCGTGTGAATGGCTGTTTGCTGCTTAGATTATTTCGCTTGTTTTAAATATACTAAATTATGACATTTTCTGAAAGCAAGACATTATTTTTCGTTTGTCTTAAACATGCTTCTTCATTAAAGTTTTTTTTTTTTTTAGATACTTGGAACTTGGACTAGAAACGAGACAAAAACTCTAGTTTAACTAAGTAAGAAAAGCATTTTTTTGCAGTGAACATAAAAAAACCCTGAATGAATGAATGAATGATAGTATTTCTCACTTGTCCCAGGGGTCGAGCGGATCATCTCCAGCATAACTGCGTACGCTCAGCTCAAAGGCCCTGCAGTGACGATGAACAAACACACACACATCATGACTGAAGACACACAAGTATAAGCTTTTAAAAGGCTTACTGAAGTCACACACATACATCATCATCAATTTAAACACAGTTAAAGACCTTATTAAGACCATTATGCATGACATTTTAGACTTATACAGGGCTGAATGCTATGGATTTTTTCTAAAGGCCCGGTTCAGCTAGCAAATTTGTTTTTCTTAAAGGTTCCAGGCTTTCAGCTTGCTTTAAATTCTACTATTTTGTGTTTAATGGCAGAACGAAAGTTAAATAGGTTTGAGACAATTGGGTGATTAAACTAAGACAGAATTTTCAGTTTTGCGGAAACTCTCTCTTTAAACACACTTAAAGACTTTTTCGAATAGCTTTTATGTTTCTTTCTTTATGCGATTTTAAATATGTATTAGTTTTTATTATAATTCCTTTGTATTTAGTTCAACCTTTTATACAAGCATCCTTGCACATATATTTTACTTCTGTACTTTTTAGATGTGTAAAGCACTTTGAGATGCTTCTTTTAAAATCGTTATATAAAATATAGTTTATTATTTATATCATTATCATTATTATATTTATTCTGATGAACATAAAAGGTGATACTTTGAAGAATGTTGAAAACTGCTGACAACTGACTTGCATATATTTTTTAATGTTTGGATATCAATAGCCATATGGTTCCATATGGTATATTCAAAATATATGAGCAATTCCAGCGTTATGGACGTGACATTTGCAGTAAATCTCAAAAAAATAAATTCACAGAGAAAGTATACGTTAACATCATATTGAAACTTTTGTTTTATATTTTCCAGAACAACTAACCACAGAGTTAAAGGATCAGAAAATATTAATCTGTAAACATTTTTTGTACTTTAAATGAGGAAAATAAACAAGCGTTACGGATGTGACCAAAAAAAAGTGAGTTTGTAGTATACTTTGTAGAAATTCTGTGAATTAAAATGCACAATGCAAAAGAAATAATGACAATCAAAAGGATTAAATATGTCTCTATATAAAACAAAAATGATTTACTTTACTTTATTTGACAATTTTTGTATTTATGAGGAAAAATTATCGTTATGGATGCGACACTTCTGCGTTATGGATGTGACCTATGTGAAATTGGCACTTGTGTCTTATAACTGATAAATCAAATATAATTGTTTAAATACATTGACATATGTTTGAGTATTTCTAAAGTACTTAGAAAGAATACTTGCTTAACGTTACACAAAACACTTGGAAACGGTTTCCCTATTTTGTTGAAAACTTAATGCAGTTCATGGCAAGGTTGACATTTCTATTTAATTGCTCGTATATTGTTTATATAATTAATCACTCGAAGATGAGCACGTTGTCATTTTAGGGTGAACGATTCCTTAATACACGACTGTCATGAATTACTTCTGTTACGATCTAAACGTCAATAAAAAAGAATGAGTTGCCATTAACACAATGACATTAACATCAAGCTATTCTGACAGAAACGACAAACGAGCAAAGGAGCAAGTTGATAAACACTGAATAAAGTGAGCAAACGCTGGATGATAAACACTGGGCGGACAACAACAGTCACACATGCTAACATGCTAACTTTACTCACTGAAAATACGAGTTGATGTCCATTGTTTCTTAACAGCCGTCCAGTCGAATATGTTTACGGTTAAACTAGAATATGTTTACATCTGTTTAGTAACACTAACAACTCTTAATTTCAACAATTACTATATGTTTTATCGCTTACTTTTAACCGCATATTTGCAACGATGAAATAAATGTTTTTAAATTTACCGCTTAGCCAGTCACTGTCCTGCCTGGGGCTCAACAGCCAATCGAAGCTCGAGACAACCTTGCGTCACGCTAACTGCCTGCTACATCCCGCCTCTTGTGTTCTGGTTGGCTAAGAGGTGAAAGCTTCGCAAAAGCGGCTTGTGATTGGACTGGAGAGACGCCGTTTATCATAAGGTCTAATGACTGTAAAAAACTGGTCTGAACAAAAATAGACGCCGTAGTAGTGATTAAGATCATATTCTGTGAAATAACTTAACGTATTATTTCCTCCGTTGTCAAGTGATATTTGTTTATTTTATTACTTTGAATGATTCATTAATATATATACGTATATATATATATATATATATATATATATATATATTAATGAATCCTTCAAAGTAATAAAATTCGCAGTTTAATAGGTTATATGCCGAGCTAGTGCAGTTCCCATGCTGATACACTTCCGGTGACCTGTTATTGTAAACTTTTTCTCATTTTATCTGGTTCCTTATAAAGCATTGATGTTGTAATGTCATTAAAATACATTCAGTTAAATAAACTTTAGCATTTATTTAGTTGCTCAAGCGTAAAACTAGACAAAAAGCCGTTTACTCGCACGCACCAGTCAGAATTGGCAGGCTAGCGCAAAAGCTCCATTGAATATACTGGGGTAAAATATATGCTCATATTATAAAGATATGGCGGGAGGAATGTAATTTAATGCAGTGCTTCTTGTACAATCTGAGACCCACTTTAAATCGGATATCACTCAGCTAGCGGAGACCACTGATTTTTAAAGAAAACAGACCTTAAACGCACCGGATTTTGCATTGCCATTCAATTCGCCGGAAGCGCTTAACCCAGGTTAATGGCAAATTAAAAGTCCCATTAGCATGCTTCGGCATATACCCCACTCACCACATTGAACTGTTTTTTGGCTGAAATCATTGCTGCAGTCAAAAATGAGTAATGTGTATTCAGCATAGTGTGAACTCACCTGACATAAAATGAGCACTGCAGAGTCCAGCATTTTATTTAGGTCCTCACTCCATTCAGCTCTTATGATGGCTGTTAGCCATAGACGTCTGTGGTTGGCATTAAAAGCAGTGTGGTGTACAGTAACATGTAACTTTTCTATTTTTGGACTTTCAAATTTGGCATCCTACCGCACAACACAACATGTTTGCTATTGCAACCAGCCTTTTTTTTTTGCAATCGGTGTGCGCGGTTAAACCCGCGTGACGTCATGTTTGACGTAGGTTGGTAATTCCCCTATTGAAATTCCAAGACTTAGATTTGACTCAACAGTACATTGTACAAAATGCAACAACATCAGACTGGAGAATGTAATTATTGTGGGCAAAAGGTAGAGTAGGGAAAGGAAAGTATTTGTTATAAATTTGAGTTAAAATGAAGTTTAATTTGGTTAAAGTGCTATTAAACAAGTCAGATGAGGACCGCATAGAAAAAAAAAGACAAAATTAAACTAAATAAGAACTTAATAAAAGATAAAAAAGAACTTGATAAAAGCTAGGTAGGAAGTTTTTAGTTTGGATTGTTTGAGGTGGCAGCAGGTGGCGGTAATGCACCTGGAACGTGTTTGCCAGCTGCCAATAAATCTCATAAGAAGAAGAAGAAGAAGAAGAAGCAGAAGAAGAAGTGTAGAGAAAGTGCGTGAAAGTTCAGACCATTGGTTCAGACGTTGTTGCTGGGTGTCCAGGGGGTGTGTGCGTAGTGTCCGTTCACCCTGATGATCCAGAGGGACCGTGTGTGTGGAGTTACCAACCAACAACAGCAGGGTAGTGCACTTCCTCTTTCTCTGAGAGGCTGCTGTGTGTGTGGTGATGTCCAGCTGATAGACAGAGTTTATAAGTCAGACATTTATCAAATCTGTAATGAACCTCATCAAAGAGATGTGCTTAAAAATGTTTTATGTTATTATTTAGTTAGCAGAATATTAGTAACAGTGAAGACACGTGTTGTGTTACAAAAGATTTTCATTTAAAATAAATGCTGTTGTTTCCAGCATTGAACAGAAACGATTAGTGATTATCAAATCAGATTATTACTTCTGAGGCATCACGTGACACTGAAAGTCATGCTAAAATTTAATACATTTAATTATTCTGTATTTTACATATACTCACCGGCCACTTTATTAGGTACGCTGAGTTGGACAGCTTGAGATCTGCTTGTTCTTCATGGCAGAGATTCATCTAGTTGTTGGGAATATCAATATTTCTAATATAAGAATATTTAGCTCGATGTTGTCCTGAAAGCATCACAGTTTCAGCAGATTTGTTCTTTTCATCCATAATGTGGATTAGATTTGTTAATATGTCTAAAAATCAAAACTTTTAATTTCCTTCTTTATGGGTCCTGAAGCCCCCCTCTTTCAATTCAAGCCTACCTAAGAATTTTTTCAACAAATGCCCACGCCAACACGAGGAGAGCATGCAAACTCCACACAGACATGCCCACTGACCCAGCCGGGGCTCGAACCAGCGACCTTCTTCCTGTAAGGAGATCATGCTATCCGCTGCGCCACCACGCTGCTTCTTTATTTTCATTTTGCTCTTAAAAATTTGTAGTATTTGTTTGGTAAATGATTAGTTAACCTGTTTGGTATTATTGTTAATGATTTGCTTTTGTAGTATATTTGGACTATAACTCATTCACATTCTATTATTTTATACTATCAGTCTATTAGGGCGGAGCTATATCAGTCCTTTGGTGTGGAGCTATCAGTCCTTTAGGGCGGAGCTAACATTGCTTTAGGGTGGAGCTATCAGTCCTTTCATGTGGAGCTATCAGACCTTTAGTGCAGAGCTAACATTGCTTTAGGGCGGGGCTATCAGTCCTTTAGAGCAGGGCTGTCAATCATTTAGGGCGGACCTATGAGTCCTTTAGGGCAGGGCTATCAGTCCTTTAAGGCGGGGCTATCAGTTATTTAGGACATGACTATTTGTCATTTGGGGGGGGCTATCAGTCATTTGGTGTGAAGTTATCAGACCTTTAGAAGGGGTCTACTTTATTTTTATAAATTCAATATTTGAAGTTCACTTCTTTTTTGACTGCCCTGATGTGAATCTTCTGGACTCTGGATCTGGAGTCTGAGACTGTCTGAGTTTAGTTTATGATCAAGAAGACAGTCTGTGCACAGCACAAGATGCTCACTGAGGTCAATACTCTGTGGGGTATAATGAGGCTCAGTTTGCGCTAAGAGAAAGAGAAAATACAGCATTGGATGAATCCAAATAACTTTCTCCAAGTCTTCTGTTGTCCAGCTTTGGTGATTTTGCAAAATTGTTGGACTCTGCTTCTTTTTCTGTGTTGTTTATTAAGACATGCTGTTGGGTTATTTAAGTTAAAGAGACAGTTCACACAATAAAGAAAATCAACTCTTCCTCCAGTGGTTATAAACCTTTATGAGTTTCTTTCTTCTGTTGAAAACAAGTGAAGATATTTGAAGGAAAGCTGAAAATGTGTAACCACTTTTATAGTAGGAAAAACCAAGACATCATGTTTATTTATCAATAAAAAAACTTTTCGTTTAATAACAAACCTTAATAATAATAAATAACAATAAACCTGGTGTAACTTTTGGCTTTTGCAAAAGGACAAAGATATCCTTGTGCACTGAAATAAACTAACCAGCAATTAATGGTGCCAGAACTCACGTGGTTTAGTCCCTTCTCTTGTGTTTCCAGGTGAAGCAGTTGATGAAGTGATGGAGCCATTGGAAAAACATGAAGAAATCCCTAAGCCTCGTCAAGTGAAGACTGAAGACGAGGGTGAGAGGATGGCTATTAGCTACTGTATACTTTGTCATGATAAACAAAATCGCAATCCTTCAGTTGTCATGCGCATCTTTGTCAGGAAAGCAGTTCTGTGATTAGCAGTATATCTTCGTCTAAAGGCCAGAGGGCGCTCTAAACTCCAAACACCTATGAAGAAGAAACCAAGGAAATCCCCATAGATATTTACATTAGATGTCGCCTACCCTGATGTTGTCTATTGGAAGTAATGTGTGCTGTTGAATGACATTTGTCCTGGGAGCCCTGTACAAATGTGGCGACGCTATTGACGCATGCTCAGGGTCCATATGCGATATCTAGTGTATATATCTATGGGAAATCCCCAGAGTGTTGCATTCTAGACAGAAGATTATCCTGCTTTTATTGATTTGATAGAAACATGCTAGTTTATGCTAGAAACATGCTAAAAACATGGTAATTAATGCTAGAATTATGGTAGTTACATGCTAATTCATGCTAGAATCATGTTAATTCATGCTAGAAACATGGTAATCCATGTTAGAAACATGCTACCAACATGCTAATTTATGTTTGAATCATGCTAACAACATGCTAATTCATGCAAGAACCATGCTAGCAAAAAGTTAATTCATGCTAACGACATACTAATTCATGTTTGAATCATGCTAACAACATGCTAATTCATGCTAGAACCTTGTTAATTCATGTTGGAAACATGCTAATCCATGCTAGAAACATTAATTCATGCTAGAATTATGATAGTTACATGATAATTCATGCTAGAATCATGTTCATTCAAGCTAGAAACATGTTAATTTATGCTAGAAACATGTTAACGACATGCCAATTTATGTTAGAAACATGTTTTAAATTGTTGATTCATGTTAAAATCATGCAAACATGTAAATCCATGTTAGAAACATGCTAACAAGCTAATTTATGTTTGAATCATGCTAACAGCATGCTAATTCATTCAAGAACCATGCTAGCAAAAGGTTAATTCATGCTAACAACATGCTAATTCATGTTGGAATCATGCTAACATACTTATTCATGTTAGAAACATGCTAATCTTTGCTAGAAACATGCTAACAACATGTTAAATGCTAGAATCATGATAACAACATGCAAATAATGTTAGAATCATGCTAGTTACATGTTAATTAATGCTAGAAGCATGCTAACGTGCTAATACATTCTAGAAACAGGTTGCCAACATGCTAATTCACGCTAGAAACATGATAACAACATGACAATAATGTTAGAATCATGCTAGTTACATGTTAATTAATGGTAGAATCATGCTAACAACATGCTAATTCATAAACATATTACCGAAATGCTAATTCATGCTAGAAGCATGCTAATTCGTGTGTCTTTTAAAATTAGGTTTTATGTACCCTATATTGTAAACGATAAGACATCGCCCTAAAATGAAAGCTTCAGGAAACTGTTCCATTGTTCTTGCAGAAGTGCTGTCAATGTTTCACAAAGAAGAAGCAGAGAGAAAAAGCAGGAGGACGCCTCGGGGAACGAAGCCGTATTACTGCACGCAGTGTGGAAAGAGCTTCAGTGTGGCGGCGCGCTTCAGACGACACCAGCGCATCCACAGCGGGCACAGGCCATACCAATGCCCCCTCTGCCACACCGGCTTCACCTCGCAAGAGAATCTGAGCGAACACCTCGCGCACGCACACACACAAGCCAGCAGCAAACCTCACCGCTGCACTCACTGCGGCAAGGGCTTCGTACGGCCCGGGAAACTCTGCATCCACATGCGCGTGCACACCGGGGAGAGGCCGCACCGCTGCGCAGACTGCGGGAAGAGCTTCAAGAGCGCAGGAGAGCTGCAGAGACACACCGCTATTCACACCGAGATAAAAACACACCAGTGCTCGGAGTGTGAGAGCAGCTTCAGGAGATCCACGCATCTGCTGAGACACATGCGCACACACAGCGGGGAGAGACCGCACCAGTGCATGAGCTGCGGGAGACGATACTCGCGCTCAGACCACCTGAGGAGTCACCGCTGCACACACACGCACACTGACAGCAAAACAAGGAGAGTTCAGTGCTAACACTGACCCCATTTACGAGTTCACCAGTCGACCTAGTTTGAGTTTCCTCACAGAAATGGAGATATTCTGACGAATGCTGGAAAAACAGACACCCATTGTAGGGATTAAAAATACTATGGAAGTCAGTGGCTTTTTTTTCAGCATTCTCCAGAATATCGTCATCTGAAAGAAACTCCTTCAGGTTTACTGAGTAAATAATAAGAAACCTTCATTTTGGGTCGACTGGTGCCTTAAAATCAATGTAAAGGAGTTTGTCTCTCAGTGTTGAGGTCTAAACTGGTGCTAGAAATGAAGTCAGAATTGTCAAACACAAATCTGAATCCTCACAATTCTGACTTTTTTTTTTTCTCAAAAAAAGTAAAGCAGCATGCAATTTTGCTATAAAAGCTTTTTTGTTTGATTTAATTCTGTGTCACTGTATTCACTGGCATTAATAAAGTTACTTTTATTTTTGGTTTTCACTTCCACTTTCCTCCAGAGAGGTATTGCATTAAAATAAGATAAGGAATTAAGCTGGTATCTTAAGGCTATCCTGGCTGATTATAGCCTGAGGTACTTTCGATTTTAGGAGACGTCCAATAGATTAATACGTACAGAAAAAGTCCAAAGAGGGGGGGGGATCACCAGAATGGGGAAGTCCCAGAGTAAAATGAGAAAATATGATGCACCTGTGTTTTGGAATATGGATAAACAGTATCTGATTGGGCAGTTAAGATTTAAAGAGCCCCTATTTTGCATTAAAAAGGTCATATTTTGGTTTTGGGGGTCTCCATCAACATACTGATCTGCATGCAAGGTCAAAAAACACTTTTATTGTATTATAATATGCCTTTATTTTTACCTGATTATCCCAGCGACTCCCATATGAATCGTTCAGTGATTTATTTGTTCAGTCTGCAGTAATCTGCAGTGATTGGTCTGATGACCCAGTCTGTTGCGATTAATTGACTGCGTTCAGCACGAGACAGAGAGAACAACGCACCACAGCTATGAAATAGCAGCCAGAGAGTATGAGAGCCTAATGTAGGAATTCAATACATCAATGCAGTTAAAGACTTAAACATAACTAGAGGGTGGAGCATATAGTAACTCCTCCCCCTCTTCAAAAACAGCCAATGGTATTTCGCTCTGCCATTGATAGTAGTTGAGCTCAAGCACATACAATGAGAAGCATCTTGAAGGGAGCGGGGCACTTCAGACACGAGAGAGCATTTGATAGATGCGGAAGTGACAAACTGCAAGTCTTGGCTGTTCATTCCTTCTAAATGTGAATTTTGTCACTGTTTTGGAGCACACTAGCTTATAGATACTCTCAAAGACTAACATCTAAAACACTTTATTTTAATTTCACTGGAACTTTGTTATTTAACAAATTACAGTGGATGTCAATGATTAGCAACCTTCCTCTAACTATCCTACGAAGAGCGGAGCTTTTACTCAGGCAGACACCGAAGCTTCTCATTCATCAACTGCTCTGCTTAAATCCACCTTTCTAAATCCAGCGGCTCCTCTCAGGCTAGACAGATACACCTGTGCTTTGGGGACGAGACTCTCTCCGTCTCGCTTTGTCTGGCAGCTGGCGTCTTTAGGGAGGAACGTCTGAGAGCTGTTGTGTCTCCGCATCAAACTCCAATCACTCTGAGATGATCGGGTCACTTTACTGTGCAGATTAGCCTGAAACACAGATCAGTCCTGCGATTATGAGCTGTTCCACCTCAGTTGATCACTACAAGTTTATTTCGACTTGATTGACTTGGGCAGGGGTGCCCATGGCCAGTACAGGAGGTCCAGTGTCCTGCAGACTTTTGCTCAACACACCTGGCAGGAAGTTTCTAGTATATCTAGTAAAAGCTTGATTAACTGCTTCAGGTGTGTTTGATTTGGGTTTGAACGAAACTCTCCAGGACACCAGCCCTCCAAGACTGAGTTTGGGCACCCCTGCACTAGAAGATTCACTTAGAAGGACCAATCACTCTGATTTGTGTAAAAACAGGGGAATTAATGCCTATGAAGTTGGCAAGTGCAGCTCTCACAGGTGTAGCCCCTCTACAACTGGAAGCATAAAGGCTGCCTTGAGAGGAACCTCTCAAGTGCGTGACTCAGGAAAATCCAGGTCACCCTGTGTACTTTCTAGAAATTTATCTATTTCCAGTTGCATCTTCCCTGATGGACGTCTCTCTCTGCATGGAGGCAGTGGTTCACAGCTGGCCCTGGGGCAGGCACAAGCATGGACTTTTCTACCAGTGAGCCCTCTTGCAAAGACACTGTGCAAGGCCAGGGAGGATGAGGAGCAGGTTTTTTGTGGTTGCGCCTTTTCGGCACACCCAAACGTGGGTTCCAAACCCACACACTTTACCTTACAGCCCATCCTTGACACTTCCACTGAGACCTTCCTCCCAGTGATGGGTCTCCCACATCCACGTCAAGTCTTCCAAATTGGAAGATTTAGGTGATCCACTACCACTAGTAGTTTACACCGTCACTAGGGTAAGAGTCACTTCTATGAGTCTTTTTGTTGTTTGACATGACGTCCCCCGAACTTTACTGATCGGTGTTGTGCTTTCCTTACTTTGGTCTAAATTGGAGAGCAGAATTTCGCCCTCCATACTGAAGGTTTACAACATGTCCATTTCCACTCACCATGAGCTGGTGAATGGCTGGACAAGGGGGAGCATGACCTGGTCATCCGGTTCTTTAGAGGCACTAGAAGGCTCAATTTGCCTCATACTACTCTCTCATACCCTCCTGGGATCTCTCTGTAGCCTATTCCAGGGTGCAGAGATATCAATTGTACCACTTGAGTCCGTATCTATCAAGATTCTGTCTCTTAAGACAGGTCTGCTGACCACACCTATGTCATTCAAGATGGTCGGGGACCTGGAGGCATATTGGGTCAACAAATCTTGCCTAAAATTCAAACTGGATAACCCTTACTTTATTCCAAGGCTACGTGCTCAAGGCTCCTACCACTTCTTTCTGGGACCAGGCAACGAACCTGCAAGCACTGCCTCTGCAGGAGGCAGACCTAGCCCTCTTGCTGCTGTGTCCCATCTGAGCACTGCGCATGTATGTGGATTGCACTCATAGCATAAGATCCTTTGAGAAGCTCTTTGTCTGTTTTGAAGGTTGGCAGAAGGGAAGAGCTGTATCTAAGCTGTAGAGTTGTGTGCTGGGCAACACTTAACACATTTGCAAGATTCATTAATCTCCAAATGGAGCTGGTTATCTAGTCAGTCGGGAGAAAGCTAAGCTTGTTGTCAAAGTACTTGCTGTGGCACACTCCGTAACCCGGAGCTATGTTTATATTATAATGCTCTGCTAGCTTGAGTTCCCCGTTGGTGAACCCTAGAGAGTTCCTCCAAGGCCTCCTTCACATAAGTCGTTGAAGGAGGAGGGTGCAGGCCCATAACATTGTTGGCCAACTTGGCCAACCCATGTTCTAGGGTACGGTGCCAGCTATGTGTGGCTCCCTTTCCAGGTGACTCCATATGCAGTATTATCCACAGTGAGTCCCCCTACATAGACACCACACAGAACTGCATCCTCCCTATCAGCTAACCATCTTCCATATGTGTGCTCCCCCTAATCAGGGCAAGACCATATGTGTCTTGGTTCCAGGTCTCCACATTTGGGTAGCAGAGACCTCTGCAACGTCCTTCCCCTTTGGGACTGGAAAGCTTTCCCAATGTTCTGTCATATTTAGGGTTAGTTTGGCTTCGTATAAGTGCTTGGCACGATTGGTGAGTATGACATCCCGAACTACTTTTCCCTATCATGGTAATTAGGGCCAGGGACATTGGATGGTTACACTTTTGATGGCACTTGTGTGTTCATGCTACCTGCCTGACACAGATTGCCCCAAAATCGCGTAACAGGTTCAGCTCCTGTGGCAGTTAGGATAGGCTTCGCTAGTTGATCAACTCAACATAAACTTGTAGTGAACAACTAAGGGTAAACCTCTTGGTTATGTATGTAACCCTCATTCTGGAAAGGAGGAAATTAAGACGTTTATGTCCACCTGCCACAGGAGCTGAATCCACAGCTGAATGGATTAAGTAAGTAGTCTAATGAGCTTCCTCTCAAGGCAGCCTTTATACTCCTATTTGCTGAGTGGCTACGCCTGTAAGAGCTGCACTTACCAATTTCATAGGCATTCATTGACCCATTTTTATACAAATCGGAGTGATTGGTCCTAAGCAAATCCCCCAGTCGATCAACCTGACATAAATGTCTCTGTTCCCTCATTTGGGGAATGGGAGTTACATAAATAGACGACGTTCATTTAGCTGACCTGAGATCAGTTTGTCTATTGGTCATCTACCTCAGGGGTTCCCAAACTTTTCAGCACGCGACCCCTAAAATAACAATGCCAGTGACTCGCGACCCCCAATATCCTCTGAGGTGGTTATAAATACAGAAAACTTGCATGCAATGGCGCACACACACACACCAATAGACCAAAGTCTATTCTTTGTTTTTTTATGTATGTCAGTGCTGTAAATGGGCCAGAAAGTTTAACCTGGTGTTATAAAATCAATCTGCTGCATCTGACGCTATTGCTGTCTTTAATATAATGCATTTACCCCAGGGGTCGCAATCCAATAGAACAAGTAAATAAGCTACTATAGTAACTATGAACGTTTTATATAGTTTTTTTTATATAGTTTTTTAAATAGTTTTTTCTCTTCAGTTGGTTATGGATAAAATATGGTAATTCTTATGGCCTAATAATAAGTAGATTTTTGGAAATCACCAGGCAACCCCCCCTTCATTGTTCCGCGACCCCTCAAGGGGTCCCGACCCACACTTTGAGAACCACTGATCTACCTGACCTGAGATCAGTGTGTGTAGTGTTCATCCAGCTAACCTGAGATCAGTGCATTCCTCTAGCTGACCTAAGATCCGTGTGATTATTTAGCTGACCTGAGATCAGAGTGTTTATCTTGCTGGTCTGAGATCAGTGTGTTCCTCTAGCTAACCTGAGATCAGCGTGTTCATCTAGCTGGTCTGAGATCAGTGTGTCTCACCAGTTTAATGGCTTTTCTTCTCATCTCCCACTCGTTCCACTCATAGGAGGTGCAGATGTTGCTCTGCAGAGGGTGGATCTCCGTCTGAACACCGGCGTCACTTTTAGAGATGCTTTTCAGCAGCAGTTTCTGTCCGGATGGCATCTGAGAAACGAACAACACACACCTTACAACACACACATCAGATATCACAAACTAACAACAATGCAAATAAGGAAAGATTGACTGCACTTTTCTGTTTCGTTAGTGTATGGCCTGTTTATCACCCATAGGAACTTTAGTTCTCTTTAGTAATAAAGCATGTGTGTCTCAGAACTCCTCTCTGAGGGCTCTGGATCTTCTCTTCAGAGCTGTATTGTTCCTCACCCCTGCTGTCAGACTCTGGTGTCCCGCTGGCAGCTGAGAGTATGCAGTGCTGCTGGTGAAGTGCTGCTGCAGCTGCAGCAGCTGGATGAGTTCAGGTGTTCTGCTGGCCGTCTCCAGCACCGCTGCTGTGTATTCATCTGCTCGACAGGAGAACTCGTATGCTGCGCTCCTGCTGCTGAACGCGTAATATTTCTCCTTGTGCTTCAGCACGCCGATGCTTGTGTTACCTGAGAACAGGAGAGCATGCGCACGTTAGCATTTGTTTCTTATCTTTTCTCCTCTATTGTGACAATCTCACTTCAGGATGACGAACAAATGTGGGCGGGGCTTGATTTTGTGCACAGGGAACTGATTGGACAGTTGTATTCTGCTATTGGTGGATCTCATTTGAGTGACAGGTTGACTCCACCCTCATAACAGTAAACACCAATCAGAAAACAGATGTCATTGGAGAGATGTTAATTTACAATAAACAAAATATTATAAAAGTTAATAGACAAACTTTATGGTGGCTTGAGAAAGCCTCGTCTACAAGTTTGAAGTAGCTTTAAAAGTTAAATCATTATAGTAGTTTTTAAGAAGCTTGCATTCTCAGGTTTCTAGTATGAGTTGTCATGTTTCTTGCTAAGGTGTACCTAGGGTGTTCTGAGTGGTTACTAAGGTGTTGTTAGGTGGTTGCTACGGTGTTCAGAATGGTTGCTAAGGTGTTGCTAGGTGGTTGCTAAGGTGTTCTAGGTTATTGCTAAGGTGTTGCTAGGTCATTGCTAGGTGGTTGCCTAGATGTTCTAGGTGATTATTAAGGAGTGCTAGGCACTTCCTTAAGTGTTGCTAGGTGATTGCTAGGGTTTTCTTAGTGGTTGCTAAGGCGTTGCTAGGTGATTGCTCAGGTCTTTCTAGGGGGTTGCTAAGTGGTTGCTATGGTGTTTTTACTGGTGTCTAGATGGTTGCTAAGGCATAGGTGGATGCTAAGGTGATGTTAGGTGGTTGCTAGGGTGTTCTGAGTGGTTGCTAAGGTGTTACAAGGTGGTTACTACGGCATTGCTGGGTGGTTGCTAAGGTGTTGCTAGGCGTTTGCTAAGGTGTTCTGAGTGGTTGCTAACATAAATTAGCATGTTTCTAGTATTATGTATCTAGTATTAGCATTATGCTAGCATTTTTCAAGCTTAAATTAACACATTGTTAGGATGGTTCTAGTATGAATTAGCATGTTATTAGCATGTTTCTAGTATAAACTAGCATGTGGCAAGCATGCATTTAGTATAAATTAGCATGTTGCTAGTATTTGTATAGTATGAATTAGCATGTAACTAGTATGATCAGTATGTCCGTTAGTATGGATTGGTATGTTGTCAGTATGTCCAATGTAAAGTCAATGGCAGTTGTAACAATGGAAGGCTATGGGACAGTTGCTAGGGTGCCGTAAGTGGTTGCTAGGTGTGGCTAAAAAGTTGAAAGGTCATCAGTGATTGGCAGATTGGTAGTCTGAGATAAATGAGCCCAACCTTAAGTCTGTATGACAGTCTGGCGCAAAGTTATGAGAATCACAAATTTTAGTCCAATGTTAAGTCAATGGGACTTTTCTGAATATTCCAGGTCAGTTTTCAGAAAAGCCTAAGTCGGATCAGTTGGAAAAGATATGGCAACTTGT